GTTCAGAGGTGAGACCCGCTAGTCCAGCCACCTGCTGGGGCACAGCGCGGGGCACTGCTGTCTACTCGCGGCCCCCCACCCTCCTCCAAGAAGCACTCTGGCTCCGCACTGGCTCCTGCTTCCTGTCGGCCCTCGGCTGGCAGAGGACGGTCAGAGCGCGTCACGTCCTTGCCTAAAACCCCCGCGGAAGAGGACAGGCCAGTCAGTGGACACAGATGGCTCGTGGTGGCCGTGGCCGGGATGGGGAAGGTGAGTGCTGTGGGCACGCGGGTCCCCGGGGGAATGAAGGTGCGCCCACGGCCCCGGGTACGGCTGCACAAGCCTCAGACAGTCAGCCAGCTGCACTGCTAGGCTATGTGGACTGCACTTCAAGAAAGGCATTATGAGAAAAAATTAAAAATAAAAAAGCATCAACTTTGCAGTGGGGAGATCTGGGACCCTCTGAAAATCTAGCCCCCCCCCCCCGCCCGGGGAAAGAACTGTCCAGCTTTGCGCACACTCTGGGAGCTGACCAAGGGCTGGTGCGAGGGGGTGCACATGCTGGGGCTCTGGACGCACGCAGCAAACGGGTGAGGGAGGCGCCCGCCCCCGCTCCAGGCACCCTGAGCTGGGAAATGAGCCTCAGCAGTTCGTTTTGCTATGGTGTAGCAGCTTGGTTAAGTTGAGGCGAGCTGGCGCGCTTGTGCGTTCAGCACGATGTGGTCTATTTAACGGGAGAAGCCCTACAGCCGCCTTCCCAGGATGCCCCTGGGGCCACGCTCATATCACACCTCACTGCCCAGCCAGTGGGGCTCTGCATCTTCCCTGTAAACAGAGTGGAGGGCGAGACTGCTGTCGGCGGCGTGGACCTCGACTGCAGGTACGGCTGGGTGGAGGGGCGCGGTGTGGGGTGTGTGTGTGTGTGTGTGTGTGTGAGTGTGTATGGCTGGGTGGAGGGGCATGCTGTGTGTGTGTGTGTGAACGGCTGGGTGGAGGGGCGTGGTGTGTGTGTGTAGGTACAGCTGGGTGGAGGGGCGTGGTGTGTGTGTGTAGGTACAGCTGGGTGGAGGGACACGGTGTGGTGTGTGTGTGTGTGTGTACAGCTGGGTGGAGGGGCACGGTGTGGTGTGTGTGTGTGTGTGTACAGCTGGGTGGAGGGACACGGTGTGGTGTGGTGTGTGTGTGTGTACAGCTGGGTGGAGGGGCACGGTGTGGTGTGTGTGTGTGTGTGTACAGCTGGGTGGAGGGACACGGTGTGGTGTGTGTGTGTGTGTGCACAGCTGGGTGGAGGGGCACGGTGTGGTGTGTGTATGTGTGTGGGTACAGCTGGGTGGAGGGGCACAGGGTGATGGGTGTGTGTGTGTGTACAGCTGGGTGGAGGGGCACGATGTGGTGTGTGTGTGCGTGTGTGTATGGTGGGGTGGAGGGGCGTAGTGTGGTGTGGTGTGGTGTGTGTGTGTGTGTGTACAGCTGGGTGGAGGGGCGCGGGGTGGTGTGTGTGTGTGTGTGTACAGCTGGGTGGAGGGGCACGGTGTGGTGTGTGTGTGTGTACAGCTGGGTGGAGAGGCACGGTGTGGTGTGGTGTGTGTGTGGGTACAGCGGGGTGGAGGGGCACGATGTGATGTTTGTGTGTAGGTACAGTTGGGTGGAGGGGCGCGGGGTGGTGTGTGTGTGTATATGTGTACAGCTGGGTGGAGGGGCGTGGGGTGGTGTGTGTGCGTGTGTACAGCTGGGCTGGAGGGGTGTGGTGTGTGTGTGTGTACAGCTGGTTGGAGAGGCACGGTGTGGTGTGGTGTGTGTGTGGGTACAGCTGGGTGGAGGGGCACAGGGTGTTGGGTGTGTGTGTGTGTGTGTACAGCTGGGTGGAGGGGCGTGGGGTGGTGTGTGTGCGTGTGTACAGCTGGGCTGGAGGGGTGTGGTGTGTGTGTGTGTACAGCTGGTTGGAGAGGCACGGTGTGGTGTGGTGTGTGTGTGGGTACAGCTGGGTGGAGGGGCACAGGGTGTTGGGTGTGTGTGTGTGTGTGTACAGCTGGGTGGAGGGGCGTGGGGTGGTGTGTGTGCGTGTGTACAGCTGGGCTGGAGGGGTGTGGTGTGTGTGTGTGTGTACAGCTGGGTGGAGGGGCACGGGGTGGTGTGTGTGTGTGTACAGCTGGGTGGAGGGGCGCGGGGTGGTGTGTGTGTGTGTACAGCTGGGTGGAGGGGCACGGTGTGGTGTGTGTGTGTGTGGGTACAGCTGGGTGGAAGAGCACGGGGTGATGGGTGTGTGTGTGTGTGTATGGCGGGGTGGAGGGGCGGGGTGTGTGTGTGTGTGGGTACAACTGGGTGGAGGGGCGTGGGGTGGTGTGTGTGTGTGTGTGTGTGTGTGTACAGCTGGGTGGAGGAGCACGGGGTGGTGTGTGTGTGGGTACAGCTGGGTGGAGGGGCGAGATGTGGTGTGTGTGTGTGTGTGTGTGTACAGCTGGGTAGAGGGGCACGGGGTGATGGGTGTGTGTGTGTGTGTGGGTATGGCTGGGTGGAGGGGCACGGTGTGGGGTGTGTGTGTGTGTGAGTGTGTATGGCTGGGTAGAGGGGCACGATGTGGTGTGTGTGTGTGCGTGTGTGTACAGTTGGGTGGAGGGGCGCGGGGTGGTGTGTGTGCGTGTGTACAGCTGGGCTGGAGGGGTGTGGTGTGTGTGTATGGCTGGGTGGAGGGGCACGGGGTGGTTTGTGTGTGTGCGTGTGTACAGCTGGGTGGAGGGGCACGGTGTGGTGTGTGTGTGTGTGTGGATACAGCTGGGTGGAAGAGCGCGGGGTGATGGGTGTGTGTGTGTGTGTGTACAGCTGGGTGGAGGGGCACGATGTGATGTTTGTGTGTAGGTACAGTTGGGTGGAGGGGCACGGGGTGGTGTGTGTGTGTGTGTGTACAGCTGGGTGGAGGGGCACGGTGTGGTGTGTGTGTGTGTGTGTGTACAGCTGGGTGGAGAGGCACGGTGTGGTGTGGTGTGTGTGTGTACAGCTGGGTAGAGGGGCACGGTGTGGGGTGTGTGTGTGTGTGTGTGTACAGCTGGTTGGAGGGGCACGGTGTGGTGTGTGTGGGTACAGCTGGGTGGAGGGACACGGTGTGGTGTGGGTGTGGGTACAGCTGGGTGGAGGGGCGTGGTGTGTGTGTGTGTGTGTATACAGCTGGGTGGAGGGACACGGTGTGGTGTGTGTGTGTGTGTACAGCTGGGTGGAGGGACACGGTGTGGTGTGTGTGTGTGTGTGGGTACAGCTGGGTGGAGGGACACGGTGTGGTGTGTGTGTGTGTGTGGGTACAGCTGGGTGGAGAGGCACAGTGTGTGTGTGTGTGTGTGTGTGTACAGCTGGGTGGAGGGGCACGGTGTGGTGTGTGTGTGTGCACAGCTGGGTGGAGAGGCACGGTGTGGTGTGTGTGTGTGGGTACAGCTGGGTGGAGGAGCACGGTGTGGTGTGGTGTGGTGTGTGTGGGTACAGCTGGGTGGAGGGACACGGTGTGGTGTGTGTGTGTGTGTACAGCTGGGTGGAGGGGTGTGGTGTGGTGTGTGTGTGTGTGGGTACAGCTGGGTGGAGGGACACGGTGTGGTGTGTGTGTGTGTGTGTGTGTGTGTGTACAGCTGGGTGGAAGGGTGCGGGGTGATGGGTGTGTGTGTGTGTGTGTACGGCGGGGTGGAGGGACGCAGCATGGTGTGTGTGTGTATGGCTGGGCGTGAGGGACGTGGTGTGGTGTGGTGTGGTGCATCTGTGTGTGTCTGTGCACACCCACATGCACTGTGGTTTCTTTGCTGTCTGGTTTTGGGCGTCTTTGGCCTGCTCGTGCTGGGTGTTTGTGTGGGGCAGGCCGCACACCGCGTGAACGGATGTTAGTCCCTCACCGACAGATCAAGTGTTTGCTCTGCACACCTGCCAGTCACGCTGTCTGTGGGAGGTAGAATGTGGATCAGAACCCGAGACAGGCTGACGGCCACCTCGGGCGCCCACTGGGCTGCCTGGATGGGCCGGGCACACCTGCGGTTTATTTCTAGGGCTCATCTACCGATCACCGACTGGTATGCAGACTGGCCCTTGTGGTCAGGGCAGCGGGGTGGGTGTGGCAGGGGGTGAGTGAACAGAGGGGCAGGGAGGGTCCCAGCGGGGCATGCTCGGCCTTGCACCCCTCCATGCCGTAGCCTCTGGCACGAAGGTGCCATAATGAACACGTGAGTGCCGAGCGCCACACCACTGTTGTGCCCCAGAGCCCGCTCAGTCTGTACCCTCGTTGCAGGGTCAGCCGGGGCACCCCCAGAGCCAGGGAGGGGCGGCCTAAAGGGCTGGGGCCGTTCCCCCTGGAGGCTGTGGGTGCACTTCTCTGGTCTCTGAGTAAATCCTGCCCCCATGCACTTTATCCACACATGTGCTTTGAATTCCTCACGCGGAGCCCAGAGCCCTGGAACAAACCCAGCAGGGGTCGGGCAGGGCAGGCCCGGGTGTATAGCCCCCATGGCGAGGACGGTACCCGTCCCCAGCTGCACGGCCAGCACTGGCCTCGCCTGCACTGTGCCCTGCGAGGCCGGGCCACTCCTGTTTGGACAGCGGTGAGCCGTGTTCCTTGTGCTGTTTGGTGAATGGGATTCGCAGCTGCTTCCTTAGTTCTGAATGGCTTCAACCAGGAGCCTCTCGGATGGGACACATACGAGGGCCCACGCGTGCCTCGTGGCCGCGTGAATTAAGTACGCAGGCCCTCAGCAGCCAGGGTTCTGCAGCCCCCTGCGATCCCTCCCTCACCCCGACTGTCTGCAGCGCGGGCACCACTGTGCTGGTGACCCACCCTCAGTACAGCTAGAATTTCCTTCTGAGACTGGGGCAGAAGAGCGCACCCGTGAGGCCATGCTGTTCTTCTATTTTAGCATGAATGATTTATAACCCTTCTTATAAAACAAACAACGAACTAAATCCCTGTTTATCCTTGGGATTCATACAAGACCTTGTGTTAAACAGATGTTAATAAACAGTGGTTGTTTTAATCCAGAATGGGGCAGTCAGAAAAATAAGCAAATAGTAAATGTGTTTTTATTCACTATTTTAAAAATACATTATTTCATGTCAATTTGTATAAATAAATTTGTTATAATAAAAATGGATACTCTGAATCCAGAAAAAAGTATGTCTAAAAAATTCGCTGGCAATGCAGGTGCCCTGTGTCCAGGGGCAGTTCCCGGGAGTGCAGTCAGCACTGGAACGGCGCAGTGACTTCTTGGTCTGTTAAGAATTCGTCCTCTGGGGAAATCCACGTCCTCGGTGGCTTCTCCGGACAGCGCAGAAGTGCTTCCTCGGCCAGGCAGGACGGCTCACTGCACACGGAGAGCGGCGTGGCTCCAGCGCGCCCAGTTTGCAAAGTGACAGCGGCGGTTCTAATCCTTACTAAAAATGAACAACCTTCGGGACTTTTGTTTTGGGTTTCTGTGGCTTGGGCACATCTAGAATGTCTTCATGGTCGGCACTCATTCCCTTCGCCCAGCGACCAACCGTGACCGAGCGCTCTGTGGAGGAAAAGGAAGTCCGAAGGTGAGAAAAACGAGCCAGCCGGGACGGGCGCTGTCGCACAGGAGCGGGTTTGAGATGGGTAATCACGGGGCAGCGCATGACAGCCCTTGATTTCAGTGCCGTGCAATTCCTCATCCCAATTAGGGAAACGCAGCGACTGCTTTCAAGGCACAAACTGATGAGGAAGCTCTAACGCCCTTCTCAGAGTTCATCACTGCCGGCAGTGAGCGCAGCAGGACGGGAGACGCTCCCTGTGAATGTCCACGTCTGCCGCGTCAGCCTTGTCATCTGGGAACGGCAGTCCTCCCTGGGGAGTCCTGATGCCTCCCGCCCCTTACAGATGCCTCCTGACGGGGCTCGGGGCTCTGGCTTTCGCAGGCTTGCTACCTTGGGTACTGAAAAGAAACGTGCTCTCGTTTTGTCTGTCTGTCTGTTTGTAAGAAGCGCTACTGGGCTGCGCTCCGTCCTGCTTTCTTCCATGCACAGTGATCGTTCTAGACCAGGCCAATCAGCAGAGCCGTGACCTCCTCCTCCTCAGAAGCTTACTGCAGGCCGAGTGCGGTCTCTGATCAGCAAGGCTGGTGTTCCATTAGGCGGAAAGTAAAACCCAAATGCTGCGTGCATGAAACACCTTGAGTATTTTTGGCAGCTTTTGCAATCAACTCTGAAAGCTTCAGGTGTACCCGAAGCAAAACACATAAGAAGGCACTCGATCGTAACAACCTTGACAGCTGTTTTCACTTTGTTCTTGGGGAATCAATATACTTGTGTAAATAACAGAATTTGCTTTACCTAAAGTCATTACTTAGCAAATATAACTGCTTATGATTAAGATGATTTATAAAATCAGGCTTACTGGCTGCTCTTGTTTTTCAACAGTTAATTCTGTTTCTCATACCTGTATCTTGCTGACAGAGCAGAGGTTAAGTCATTGCTGCAGCAGGAAAACAGGATGCCCAAATCAGCAGTACCCCAAAGAGTCCCTAACAGCAAAAACGCAGAAAAACAGAGGAATGCCGATCCCATCCTTGTAAACGGAGGCCCAAGGATCTCACCTGAATTCTGAGCTTCGGGGCAGTCTTTCTTCAGATGTTCCACAGAGCCACAAAGTTTGCAACCACCACCTTTAAAAGAACAGTCACTGAATACCATCCCGGACTTACACAGGTGTTTGGGTCTAGAGCACTTCCGTGTCCTGTCCGATCCTCTTGGGCTTGTCAGCTGTGAAGGCAGCTGAAGTTAGGGACACGGGTAGGTGCCACGGCTTCCTGTACCGGGACCGATGCCATGGCAGGCATGTGTCCAACAGCCACTGCACGTGGATGGGAATCTAAGGGTCTGGAGACCCCTGGGCCTATAAACACTGTGTGGATGTATTTTCTGAGGAGCGCAGCCACAGTTTTTAAGATTTGTAAATAAGCAACTACTCAAAAAGGGTTAGGATCCCCTACTGTGGTCTGTAAGTAAGGGAGGGATAAATATGTATGAGAGGAAAAAATAAACTTGTTTCAGTGCCTTCTATCTGCCCAGCACCCAAACCCTAAAGAAAATGCCCACCTATGATTCCAGGATTGTGAATTACACATGGCCTCAGAAATGAGTCTTGATCCAGCTTTCTGCTACAGCCTGGGAAAGCAGTGAAGGATGGCCCAATTGCTTGGGCCCCTGCACCCATGTCAGAGGAAGCTCCTGGCTCCTGATCAGCCCAGCTTTGGCTGCTGCGACCATTTGGGGAGTGAACCAGCGGACGAAGACATTTCTGTCTCTCCCTCTCTGTTAACTCTTCCTCTCAAATAAAAAAAAACTTTAGAAGAAAAAAAAAATGAGTCTTTTAACAGTCAAAGCTGATTGCTACAACCATTATCATGCTCATACTCACAAAGGCAATGACGCTCTAAGACATAAACGTGACTGAATTCTCACTTCTATGTGGCCTGCTCTGTGTTGTGCTTTAATTCTCCTAATCTAGCCCCTTGGGTTGGCCATCCAAAGCGATGTCTGCTCATCAGTTTTCTAAACTGGTCTTTTTATTATTTTCAACGCCATAATGAAATAGAAGAGGATGTGAATAATCTGTTGGATCCTCATCAACAACTCTTCTAGGGAAATACCATGACTCATCAAGTCTAAGACATCACTGATTATCTGTTGTTAGTCACACACCTCTCAGGAAAGAGCTGTCAGTTGTGTGGGAGCCACCGAGGGTGTAAGACGTACTCTGGTCTCTGAGCAGTGAAATGTGAACAGTGTGCATCTGGGAGCCAGTGAAGCACGAGTGAGAAACATGGAGAGGTTGGGAGTTGGCTCAGTGCGCCAGCTGGTGAGCCGGTGCGAGGACTGTCACCGTATCTCAGTGTGTCCACAGCTGTGCTTTCTCACTGGACTTCCTCGGGGGGAACCTGGGAGGTGACGTAAGAGACGTCTGGAATGAACAGCACCAGAGGGCTTTCTCCTGAAGACCTTGGACACCAGAGACTTCACTGTGGGGACCTCACAGCAGCTGAGCCAAAGCTAAGGAAGCTGTATGACCCCAAACCGTACAGTCAGCTAAGGACTCAAACAAAACTGCAGACGGAAAAACGGGGCCAGTCCTTCCACAAAACGGTGCGCTGGGCAGAAGTGAAATGCACCACCAGTTTTAAATCTGACATTAACTTGAGGTATAAGCCCTTTGTTGCTATTATGCTGTAGAGCAGAAACGCATAACCACTCAGAAATGCTAAAGCAAGTGCAGCCTGATGTATACACGTCAGTGTTTTTTATTAATATATCACGTCATTTTGCACAAAAGCCCAGTACATGGAATCGCAGCTGGTAAAAATGATGAAACTCTGAAGGTTTTGCTACTTACTTAATTTATGCAAGAACTAGTTAAGAATGTAAATTAAATATCAACTCTGCAAAACTCCCCATTCTTCATACACAAGGGGACCACGACTCACCATCAGCGTAGAGTCCTTTGGGGTTGTCAGGACAAGATCTGGACAGGTGCCCCATCTCCCCGCACACAAAACATTTTGCAAAAGGAAATTCACCTGTGAAAATCAACAGTTCACACTGATTATGTATATAAGTCGTGTAATTCACCCTGTACAATAGTCTCAGTAGAAAATATTTATTTATATAACTTAAAATCCAACCTCATACAGTTTCACAGCATTCATTATGTGGCACATTTAAAACAAAACCTGTCAACAAAAAAATACTCATTTGGCTATCTATTGGTCACAGTCCCCATCAACCACACAAGAAACAGAAAGGAAAACCTACCAAGAGCCGGGTCTATTTTGGCCTTGCACTTGGTTATCTCGTGCTCTGTGGACCCACACCGGTAACATATTCCAGTGCCCATTTCTTGATTTTCCAGGGCAGCCGGACAATCTGCGATCCCATGGCCAGGCTGCCGACAGTGGAAACATACCTGCAAACCCAAAACATGAGCTTCCGCAACGCAAATCTACACCCTGCATACATGTCTCATAAAAATGTACCTTTAAAACATTTCTCGGGCCGGCGCCGCGACTCACTAGGCTAATCCTCCGCCTTGCGGCGCCCGGGTTCTAGTCCCGGTAGGGGCGCCAGATTCTGCCCCGGTTGCCCCTCTTCCAGGCCAGCTCTCTGCTGTGGCCCAGGAGTGCAGTGGAGGATGGCCCAGGTGCTTGGGCCCTGCACCCCATGGGAGACCAGGAGAAGTACCTGGCTCCTGCCATTGGATCAGCACGGTGCACTGGCCGCAGCGTGCCAGCCACGGCGGCCATTGGAGGGTGAACCAACGGCAAAGGAAGACCTTTCTCTCTGTCTCTCTCTCTCACTGTCCACTCTGCCTGTCAAAAAAAAAACAAAAAAAAAAACAAAAAAAAAACAACTCAATCCATAAACTCTTCAATCTCACAGTTTATACAACGGCTTTGTAAAAGATAGGTGCTTAAATGAGCGCAGCGAATACAGACCATCCATTTTGTTAACAGAAGTACCTGGACCAGAAAAGTGGAGTTTTCTGTAAAAAGAAAACAACTGCTATAAACAGCATCACTGGAAATTAGTATTTGTATTTTAAAGATCATGCAATTGAATGAATGAATTTGGGTCAAATGTTTCCATGTAAATTATGATTCAAATCCTCACAGAGACTTCCGGCAGGGTATATACTCCTTGTTTTTATAGCCTTACTGAGAGTCTTTAATCCTGAGAAACGGGTTTCATTTTTAGAATATAAACACAATTCAGTTTAAAATACTTCCTTCTGAAATGCATCATGGGGCTCCAGTGCAGCTCTGAACAGTGCTGAGTTACTTACACACTACCTAGCAATCTGGAGGGTTTGTTTTTTGTTGTAAAGAATAAGACCACTACCAACAATCAAAGGCAGTAGATACTCCAACAATTTCATTTAAACTGGAAGAAGGGATTTATGTGTGTGTGTGTGTGTGTGTATGTTTCTTGAGTAACCATCACTTAACTATTTTTTCAAAATAAGCACAGGTTTGTTAAGAAGCAACTTCAGGCAAAATGAAACATTTTGCAACTCCGTCCTCATTTTCTGCTTGTCCTGTTTTAAAGATTTATGTACTTCTTTGAAAGAGTGGCAGAGAGATTCTGTCTGCTGGATCACTTCCGAAATGCCTGCAGTAGCCAAGGCCAAGCCAGAACCCAAACCAGGAACCAGGAGCTCCATCCTCATCTGCCACCGGGTGGCCAGGATCCAAGTACTTGGGCCGTCACCTACTGCTTTAGCAGGAAGCTGGACTGAAGCGAGCAGCCGGGGATTCACACCAGCTCTCCTGTATGGGATGCAGGCCTCCCGAGCGGTGGCTTACCCTGCTGCGCCACGTGCCCGTCCCAGAATAGTGTTTTACAGTGAGACACACTCTGGGGTTGAGCTTTGCTGGCTACTAGCAAAGAGGCTTCCAGCAAGCTACTTCACCTGTGTGCACATCAGTTTTTCTATCTATAGTAGGGGGATAATTTCATCACCCTTGTGGTGTTGCTGTGCTAATGAACCAGCACATCAAGTGTCTGGCGTGTATATTACCACAAAAGCACAAGGGCTTAGGAAAACACTTCAGAACTCAAGTGCACAGCCACCCGACTCTGCTAAGGTACGTGTGTGTGTGACTGTAAGAACAGCAGTTGCGGTCAAGTGCCGGCAGGTGCACCTGGGAGAGCAGGGGAAGATGCCTAAGTGCTTGGGCCCCTGCACCCACGTGGGAGGCCACAAAGAAGCTCCTGGCTCCTGGCTTCAGATGAGCCCAGCTCCGGGTGCTGTGGCCGTTTGGATGGAACCCTCTGCCTCTGCCTCTGCCTCCCTGTAGCTGTGCCTCTCAAGTACATAAATACATGATAAGAAACAGGAGGAGGAACCGTTTGCGGGCTCGCAGGGGCTGCGGACAGGGCCTCACCATCGCGTTCCTCTTGGCCGCTTGTCTCTTCAGCCGGCGCCCTTCGCGGCGACTGTCTTTCTTGAGAGCGCGTGCTACTTCCTCCCTGACGTCCTCACTGTCCGCGGCCAGAGCCGGCCCCTGCGGACCCCCGTGCGCGTGCTCTCTTAGGTAGTCCATGAACCCGTTGACGTCCTCATTCAAGTACTCTTTTTTCTTCCTGTTCTTCTTCCGTTTGGCCTGGGGTGCCTCGTCGGGCTGCTTGCGCCTCGGCAGGTTTTGGCCGGCTCTCTCGGAAGACCCCTTCCTCAGGTCCTCCCAGGACGTCGCAGGCAAGGGCCTCTTGCTGCGCGTGGTCGTGACTCGTGCCCACCTGGTCATGGTGTCGGCGCAGGTACCTACGCATCTGTGAGAGACGAGCAGGCTGGTCAGTCGTTGAAGCAAGCACCCTGCATCACCTACGCCCCGTGTGTGACTTCAAGTCGCCCAATGCATTCACATTTCTACTCTGAGTAACAGAACACGGTGCACAGACCCGCCTCTGCCAGAGACGCCACGACCGATCTGAAACACCAGACTGTGCGCGCAGGGCTCGCGCGCGCTCCCGGGCCCCGCAGACCTGGCCGCGCGTGCTGTCTCCGAAGCCTCAGGGCGGCTCCCTCGCGGTCCCTGCCCGTGCTCGTCCCTGAACGGGGAGCTCGCAGCCGCCTGCAGCCCGGCGGCCTGGACCCCCCTTCAGCTCTCTCTGGCGCCAGCCCTCCAATGGGAAGGGGCGCTACCCGCGCTGACAGCCCGAGCACCGCGCTCTTCTCCAATATTCACGAGTGCACCTGGGGCCCTCCGGACGCTCGTGCAGAATCGGATCTCCGAAGCTTACTTCGGTGCCCAACAAGCTCAAAATCCTGAAATCCCGCATCGTCCGTTCCCACCACGCATCCCGCCCCGCCAGGACTTTCCGAAAGCCCGTCCTACACGCACTGCACCCGCGTAACCGATCCCAAGAGAGACCGGCTCCGAGCTAAAGCCGAGCGGGGACAGGGGCCCCTCACAGGCTCTCGGCCCACCGGGAGGGCGTCGGGCTCCCGCGGCAGCGACCCCCGATGAGTACACGCCGGGAAGCGGCCGCGCGGCGAGGAGGACCCCGGACCCTGCACCCAGCCCTCGGACCTCCCGGAGGCCCGCAGGCCGTAGGGAACAAACGAGAAGGATCTAAGGCATCCGGCGACCCCCGCCTGCCAGCGCCCAGCGAGCTAGCCTACCCGACGTGAATCCTCCAGAGCAGCCGAGGGAGCGAGCCAGAGAAACCCGTCGCTCCGGAAGTGGCGGCGGCGGAGGCGCGCGAGGCCGGAAGCACAGCGTCCCCGAGGCGCGTCACTTCCGGCGAGCCGACTCCGGCTGGTGAAGCGCGCCGTTCGAACTGCGAGTTCTTCTCCTGTATAGGTGGACCCGGTTGTCGGTTTTGCGGGTCGCCTAGTGTCTGGAAGGGCGCCGGGGTGCTCGTCGAGGACACAGAGACGAAGGGTGCTCAGGGCCTGGCGTGTGAACTCACAGCTTGCTGGGCGGGGTAGACGCGAGTACCGGTGGGGCGCGAGGTGCCGCCGAGTTGTCCTTGGGGAGGTGCCCGTTGACCTGGGCTTCGAAAGCAAAGAGGCGGTGAGGAGCGGGGCTGGAGGGCGTGCCGACGTTCCTCCCACCCGGGGGCCTCCGAGCGCCCGTCGGAATGGGCTCGCGCGCGCCTGGCCCACTTGGACCTGCCCACGACGTGTCCGTTTCCAGAGTCGCCCCGCCCGTCCCAGCCGGCCCCGCGCCCTGCAGCCTCTTCTCGGATGGAAGACGCCAGCCCGGCTGCGCAGCTGTGCTGCGCTCCTGCTCCGAGCCCTCTCCGTTCTGGGGATGCCCTTGGCGCCCCTCTGCCCGGCGTGCGGCGCCTCTGCAGGCCGGCTGGCATCGGGTTCCCACGGAGGCGCTCGCGCCCTCCGGGCCGTCTGTGCTCGGACGGCGTCTTTGACCTGTGTGGGTGCGTAAGCAGCGGCGCCCCGAGCTGTGTGTGGGTTGTGTCCGCGTAGTCGGGGGCGCACAGCCGACGGGGACGCGCGGTGCGGTGCTCTAAGTGGACAGGTTCGGGGCAGAGCCCCGGGTCGTCCGGATGCGCTAGGTCTGAGGGTGGGCCGTCCTGACGACGCCTCCTAGGGCGCCTGGGTTCCCGATTCCAGCTTCTGTTGGTGGGCACCCTGGGAGGCAGCAGGTGATGGCCCAGGTCGTTGGGTGCCTGTCACCCACCTGGGAGACCCGGCTCGAGTTCTGGGCTGCCGGCCTCAGCCTCTCCCAGCCCTGGCTGGTGCGGGCGTTTGGGCGCTGACCCAGCAGATAGGAACAGCTGCCGGGACCCTGGGCACAGCCGGCTGCCTGCAGGTGACCGACTCACCGACCTGCCTTTATTCCTTTATTTATTTTTTTTTCATGTGTTTGTTTATTTGAGAGGCAGAATTGGAGGGGGAGATTGTTGGTTCACTCCCCAAAGGGCCACAGCTGCCAGAGCTGGGCTGACCCGAAGCCAGGAGCCTCTGCTGGGTCTCCCACATGGATGCAGGGCCCGGTCCCTGGGCCGTCCTCTGCTGCTTTCCCAGGTGCACCAGCGGGGAGCTGGATAGGAAGTGGGGCAGCCGGAACTCAGCCCGGGATGCTGGCGCTCAGGCAGCAGCTGTAGCTGCTGCGCCACAGCACCACCTTTTATTTATTTACTTTTTTAAGATTTATTTATTTACTTGAAAGGCAGAGTTTCTATTGAGAGAGAGAGCCAGCATCAGTAACATTTCTTTTTAAATTTTTAAAATTTTATTTAAGGAATACAAACTTCACGCATTTCATATATACGAATGTAGGAACATAGTGATTCTTACTCCCACCCTTCCTCCCCTCCCTCTTCCATTCCCATTCTTATTCTTTACAGAGATCTATTTTATACTCATAAGATTAACCTTACACTAAGTGGAGAGTTCAAAAATCGTATGAAGAAAAAGCAAAAAAACAATTCCTCACCTAGGTTTTTAGCATACAGTGCCTGGGACTTGGGACGTAACTGTACCACTAGAGGGCGCACGCAACTAAAACTTTAATCAGAATTTCGGACTGGAAGGACCATCTGCACTTGTTTTGTGAAAGTGGGGCACACCAGGATTAGTGGCGGTGAGAGAGGACGCAGCAGGAAGACTGGAGTTCTGTAGGTAGCACTGCTGTTCCTGCAATAGTACCTGCTGTCACGGAGCACCCTGTGGTGCCTACTGTCATGCTTGCTACTTCACACTCGGTTCCTTTTTCTTTTATTGGAAAGTCAGAGTTACAGAGAGACCTTCCATCCGCAGCTCCCCAGATGGCCGCTAGAGCTAGGGCTGGGCCAGGCCAAAGCCAGGAGCCAGGTCTCCCACGTGGCTTCAGGGGCCCAGGCATTTGGGCCATCTTCTGATGCTTTCCTAGGCCATCGGCAGGGAGCTGGATGGGAAGTGGAGCAGCTGGGACCCCGGCACTGTAGATGGCGGTTTAACCTGCGCCACAGCGCCGACCTGTTAGGTTGATTTTCTGTTGAACTCACCCGGTATCCTGCGAGGTGGGTGTTACTGTTCTCCATTTTACAGTGCATGGACAAGCTCACCCGACGTCACTTAGCCAGTCACGTAGCTAGTGGGAGGTAGAGGCAGGACTCGCACCAAGAGCCCGCTGCAGAGCCTGCGTCGCCTCTGCTCTGAAGCCCCGTACGGACCGTTTGCTTGAGCAGGTTTTACAACAGAGCAGCGGCTCATCCTTGCCCTGTGAGATTAAGAATGTATCTCTATTTGCTTTGTGATCTGTTTTCCCGTTCACTTACTGAAATACTCTAGGTGTTGTCTTCAAGGAAATAATTCTTCAACAATAAACCACACATTTCTACAGATACTACCCAGCTGTGGAGACTGGCTGTTCCCAGATGCTGGGTAGTTACACCGATGCACAGATACTACCCAGCTGTGGAGACTGGCTGTTCCCAGATGCTAGGTAGTTACACCGATGCACAGATACTACCCAGCTGTGGAGACTGGCTGTTCCCAGATGCTGGGTAGTTACACCGATGCACAGATACTACCCAGCTGTGGAGACTGGCTGTTCCCAGATGCTGGGTAGTTACACTGATGTAATTGTTTGCAGGGGCAGTGCCTTTAGGTTTCAAACAGAAGAGCGTGTGAGAGGGTGTGACCTTTCCACAAATCATCACTCATCCTACGATAACTAAACTCAGACAGAATGAAAAACCACCACCTGAGGATTCTGAACAGAAAAGAAAATAGAAGTTGGCGATTTCCAAGCCAGAATTTGTCGGGATTTGAGCTTCCCTGTGCGCGTTTGTGTGGGAGTTTGCCTGAGCGTGCGCCGTGGCTTTAAGGTGGCGTAGCGTGAAGAGCTGGGATCCCAGGGGATTTCTTAGCACTGGCCAAGTGGCCTTTTAAATTCTGGGTTCTGCAGGATTTTCCTCCTGCTGTTTGTCTTTGTGCAGACAGCTGGTCTGTGTGTCCTGTCGTCTGCAGTCTCTGGAGGAGACCAGTGCCTGGAAGGGGCTCATTCCGCCTTCCAGGGAGTTGGAGCCGTAGGATGAGAGGGTGGAGTCCTCACTCTGGCCCTGCTCTCTCTGTGGGAGGCGCTGGCCAGGCGGTGTTGAGGACGAGGAGTGCCCCCCAGGCCCGGGTCTCACACACGGGCGAGCCGCTCTGAGGCAGCCGCTTTAGCTGCAGCCTAACTGGCCGTGAGGGACGGCGGGTCTGGACAGGCTGGGACTAGATCTGCCGAAGTAAAGTGGGAGCTGTGGCCGGTCTGAAGGCCAAACAGCAGGGCCCGTGACGTAGCCCAGAGACGAGGACTGTGTGTGGGAACGCCTGCCGTGGTGCTGGCTCCCCAGAACTGGGGTCCTGCTGTCGAGGACAGAAGCGGCGCTCGGGCCCGGGACGCTCCAGCCTCTTCCTTAAACATCTGTCCGTGGTTTTGGCTGCTTTGTGTTCTTAAGGCCCACGGGGAGCAGAATGCCGAGTTCCTTTTTCTTTCCCGTGTTTCAGTTTTATCACTGTTCTTCCGTGAGTACTATTTGAGTCAGAATCGTTATTAAAGCGTTGTTGTTTTAACCCACATGAGTCTTGACGCAGCACGTGAGAGTTTCCGGTCACAGCTTTGTTTGTAGAGATCCGTACGTTCTTCAGTCCTGTCCTGTTTGCCCGAGTGGTCAGTGATGTGTCTGAGAAGCGATTGCTGTGGGCACAGGGCCGGTGACAGAGCCTTGTGGCTGCCATGTGCGAGGCGAGGGCCCCATGTTCACATGCGCTGTGGGTTCCCGGCTCTGAGTCCCGGGGTGCTGCCTTGCCTCAGGAGTGCGATGCCATGGCACTGGAAATGGCCAGCACCAGAAACCCATTCGCGCACGGTACTAGTGGTCGCTAGGCAGTGAGGAATGGGGGCTGCAGGAAGTTTGCACCTCCCCCAGCAGCTTGACGTCCATCCTGTCCTGTCCTTAGACGTGACGGAGCGCGCCGAGCAGTGAGCATGGCTCCCACAGCCTGCCTGGGTGTGTCCTCACGCTGGAGCTCCCAGCGTGCTTTGTGCTGGCCAGGGTGTCCAGTCCACGCAGGCTTCCTTGTGTCTGAGGAAGTCACACCTGATGTGGGCCTTAGACTGCGCTCAGAGGAACGGTGGGAAGTCCCATGGTGGCCTGGCATTCTGTGAGGTGGGACAGGTGAGGAACAGTCGCTTGGCAATGGCTCCTGTTGGCTAGTACCTTGTAAAGTGCTGAGTGTACAGAAATGACTATCTTTGCCAGTAAGCAGCCGGCAGCCTGCAATGGGAAGACGTGCAGATGTGTGAAATGTGGGTGATGTGTGTGATAGAGGTGTGGACGTGTGTGTGGTGGGGAATGTGTGTGATAGACGTGTTTGACAGATGTGTGTGTGGTGGGTAATGTG